TTGGCCGTACAGCAGATGAATCATTGGAAATATTTAAGAAAAAATTGTCTTAAAAATGTACTTTAGTTTTTTAGCATTGAAAAATGGGAAATACCATCTCTATGATGTGTTGATTTGCTCTCAGTTGCTTGAAAGTTTACAGAGAAATGTTTTGAGATGTGGAAGGAAAACCTTGAAGCTGCTCGTGTGAGTTTTCCTGACAGGTTTGTATTCCTCAGACTTTAGGAGAGTAGAGACCACACCTGTACTGCAGAAAGATAAAAGAGAAATGCTGAAGGTACAGGGTTGGTGGAAGAGCTGAGGGAGAAGCCAGCTGTGTGTGGAACAGGTCAAACTGAACATTAGCAGTTTGGTGAGTGGAGTAATTGTCCACATCCCCAACTGATAAGGATGGAGAGACTGAGAAGCAACCACATAAAAACGAGCAATTATCTGGTAACCCTAACCCCCAGCAGAACCTGCTGAAGTAGGCAGACTGGAGGGTGGAGAAAAACATAGGGCCAAGTGTAAGCTAAAAGACCATTAAGCCATGGGTAAAAGGAATAGGAAACTCCATCCTTAAGAGGGCTAGAGAAAGAATTGTGTTAGTATTTCCTTTATTGCTAAGAAAGATGGGCAGTTACGAACACAGTGGAAAAGGAAAATGTGTAACCTTGTTGAGCACTGTAAATGATATCCTCATCACTTACAGATACAGTATTTAGCACAGATAGGTACTGTAGATGAGTAAGTTCAAGTAAGTTCAATACATATAAGTGTATAGTTTGTATAACAAACTTACCTCTTGTAAATATGGGAGGAGAAACATTCAGTTTCCTGGTCTGTGGTTTCTACCATATCTTAAGTGCAACCCTGCTACAGGGAATCACATCTGCTCCATGGGCCATAGGTTAGCCTCTCTGCTCCAGAACTAGAGCAATGCCGTGAAAGATAAACAGCTGGTCTGACACAGCAGCTAGAGCTCAAGCTCTGGCCTAAGAGTGGATCAATGATTGGAAGCCCTTTCTAAAGCAATCTGCATCCTTTGGGGGAAGGACAGGCCATAAGAACATATGTTGGGCTGCTGTGAAGAGTTTGCAGTGACTTTGGAGGATAAAAATAGCTTAGATATGTTCAGAATTGGATGCCATCTAGGCAGGACAAGTTGAGGTGAATAAGACTTAAGTCTATTGTTATTTGGAGAGAGTTTAGGTCTGTTGGTCCTGAGGACATGGACAGAGTCCTTCATGTTACCAGCTCTGTGTCTTGTGGGTTAGATCCTTGCTCCTCCTGATTGGTGAAAGCCTCCAGTGATGTGATAGGAAGCTGTGTCAGAGCAGTGGTGAATGCATCTTTGATACAGGGGGTGGTGCACTCATTCAGGCAGTTGCCAGGAGTCAAGACTAACTCAAAGGCACAACCCCTTTTGTTATGATGATGGAGTGGTTGCTGCTTAGAGTTGGCTACAGCTGAAGAGGCCCACAAGCCTAAGTAATACATGCATAAATAAATTATTCAAGTTTGACAAATTTGAATCTTGAAAATAATTTTCCCGATCCAGTGAATATTAATTCTTCAATACTGGCTTTATTATTGCCTTCTTCCTACACTTTATATGTTCAGTTCTATCTCACTGTTTCATTAAAAAGAATACCAAATGGGGAAATAATTAATTAATACTCCATCCCCACTAAAACCATAGCCCAGTCTGGTATATTTCTTTAATAAAATAGGCAATAATCAAAAAGCTAATCAAAACCTACCAAATAAAATAAAAAGAATGTTCTACATTCATCCTACCTTCTAAAGAAAGGCTGGCATTCAAGCTAGAGTGGATAAAAGTGATTTTGATCCACACACAGCATTGCAAACTGGTTATGAAGAAGTAATATTTCTTAGAGTTGGCCTTAAAATGGGCTGTAATGTGTTTGGCCATATTTATCATGAACTTTCACCCATTTCATAGAATCATAGAGTTGGAAGAGAGTCCAACTTAGGGGTCCACTGGTCCAACTCCAACTCAGTGTGAGTTACACCACAGCATCTCTGACAAATGACCATCCAGGCTCTATCGGAAGACTTCCAGTGAAGGAGACCTCTACACTTCATGGGCCAGCCTGCTCTACTGACTGTACTCTATTAATCTCAGCTCTATAGAATGCCATGGGGTTTAAATAATAAAGCAGCACAGCTGTTTGGGAGTGGTGATATCTACCCATTTCAGATGTAAAAAGAGTCAACTGAAGCTACATAGAAATTCCATAGGAAACCTAGAAGGTCATCTTTTTGGCTTAATAATCAAATTTGGTCTTCCACTTCTGCAGTCCAGCAGCAGCAGGAGAAAATGCTTGCAGAGTGTATGAGACATGAGACAAATGAAGCCTGTTATTCATGCTACAAGAAAGGGCTTGCTTGACAAATAATCAAATTGAGTTTTCATTTATATTTATGAGCTTTCATAAGCACTTATTTGAAACATCCCAGTTGTAAATCAATTATTAGAAGTTAGATTCCATGGGTGGAGGCAATTTTTTTCATCACAAAATACCTAAATCTGCTTGCTTTTATGAGTGCATCAGAAAGGTTTTTTGCCTACAGGTGGTCCTCAAGTTATGACTATTCTTTCAGCAACTGTTCAAAGTTATGATGGCGCTGAATGAATGGGTTTACAACTGGTCCTCAAAGTTCAAGCCATTGCAATGCCCCCGTGGTCATGTGAACAAAATTCAGGTTCCTGCAACCAGCTTGCACTTACAACCAGTTGTAGTGGCCCATGGTCACGTGATCACCTTTTGCGCCCTTCCCTGCTGGCTTTCCCCAAGCAAAGTGAATGGGAAGCTGGCAAGGAAGGTTGCAAGTTGCTGGGCTAAGCCTCCCTCCATGGCCTTTCTTTGCTTGCATGCACCATGCCCTCCTTCCCCCTTCGCTTGCACACACCCTGTTCCTCTTTCCCTGGCCTCCCTGCACTTGCACACATGTATGCACATACCCCGCATCCTCTTTCCATGGCCTCCCTCTGTTTGCACACACCCCACGCCCTCTTTACCTGGCCTCCCTACAATTGCATGATTCTGTGCCCTCATTACCCAGCTTTTCTCAGCTGACACTGCACTGAACACACTCTCCTCCAACTTGCGCACTGCTTGTGCCAGACCTCCCAGGGCCTCCCCTACCCCCTGTGGCACCCCAACACTCCTTACGTGGGACTCCCTCTGCTTCCTGCTTAAAGACCTGTACGTCTTGGGTTACGACAACCAGGACTGCCTGGATTGCCATCGCTAAGCG